GCATGTCACTTGGGAGTTCATCCTTAGTGAACTCATAGAACTGTGAGTAATCAGCTTTCTTTAATGGTCTAAGATGGTCAGCATAACCACAATCCATCACAAGTACACGATCAGGATGCTTCTGTAAGTAGGCAAAAATATGTAAGGCAGCATGAAAGTGACCTTCACGAGGCATTGCATTGTAAGACGAAAGCATAGACACTTTGGCAGCAACATCAATACGACCAAGTTCCACAAGCCAGCGCAGAATACCGATGAGTTGCATGTAGAAAATAGCAGTATCATCATCAACAAAAGGGGTAGAATCAAGTTCCGGCTTGTATCCAGTGGGTAAAGTTGAGTAAACCTTTTTCTTCAAAGTCAATTGCATTGGCGCAATTCGTTTCTTGACAGATCCAATAGCCCAGGTGAAATAATCATCACCATCCAATTAGTGCTTCGAGATTGTTGCACCAAGATATGTGGTTGGCTCTTTTATCGAGTCAGGCTTTATAACAAAGAAATTGTTGAGTTTGTCCATAATCGCTTTTGGATTCTCCGAGATTGCAATGACATCATCAGTATAAACCAAAATATACTCATAATATTTCGAACCATCTTTGCGTTGACAGGGACGACGCCAAACATCCATATCTCCACGACATGGTTGGAACTCCAATTGTTCCTTCAAAACGTCTGCACAGAGGCTCCTCCATGCAAATCCCAAACTTTTGAGTCCGTAAACGGCCTTAACCAGGATAGCTTTCTTCTCGGCATACTCTCCAAACTCCTTCCCTAAAATACAATAAACTTTCTCGGCACATTTGGCATTCAGATATGCACCGGAGACGTCAGCACTCAAGACATTCAAACCATTCAAAGCAGCAATAACAAAAGCAAGTTGAATACTTTCCCTTGTCACAACACTTGCATAGGTGACAGACATTGGAGGGTCCGTTTGGTCCCCTCTAGCACATATTTGTGCCTTCGGCGTGAGATCCATCTTGACATCGAAAACAGTCATAAGCTCAATGAGCTGGTACCCAACGGGAACATCTTCATCTTCTTCCAGAATCTTCAAAGCTGGTAGGATTGTTTTCACTTCTTTGATCAAGGCATCACTCCAATGTGTGGTACCATTCTCAGCATCAAGTTCATACGCACGTGCAACCCCTTTCGGCCCAGGACCAGGCACCTCACTACCAAACTTTTCTGCCTTCTGTCTTTTCACAGCACAGCGCTTAACAGCTTTCAAAACTCGATCACGCTTTCTCAAAGTGTAGGGAACTCACCACGCAAAGGCAGGCTCTGACACAAGCTTGTTTGCAACAGCATATTCAGCGACCTCGATAGGAAACGCTTCTTTTGCTACTGATAGATCAAGCCATTCAGTTTCTCCACCTTTCATTTCAGCTAATAGTTTCCATCCTTTAGTTGTCTTTCGTGGACGCTTGAGACTGCTAGAGGTAGTATACCATCCATCGTCCCCTCTAACTGCTCGTCCATCACGTTGATGATCAATAATTTTGCGAATCCGGTACATCGTATTACCTTCATCATCGACATTCATCATTATCCCTTCAATAATCTGATTTGCATAGAAGCTTTCCACCTTTCCATCCTCGAACTCCACTTGATAGATAGATGTGTCAAGGTGTGGATTCTCATGGTAGTGACCAATCAATTTTCCAGATGAGTCACGCTTCCGACCTTGAACAACTCCGAAAGTCTCAACTCCATCTGCATTAAACGATACTTTTGCAGAGACATATTTGTCGAACTCAACAGGATCTGATTCTTGATCTGGCGGCTCTTCAAAATCATCTTCAATCTTGTGACGAGGATCTTCTTGTGGATGATCTTCATATTGTGCATACTGCGGGTAACCACCGTCTTCGATTGCAGAGATCGGCATGTTGTACTTATGCCGAATGCGATCAAGTTCTTCTTCAGAGATAGAGACTCCATCAGACTTCTTCTTCAGATTCTTCTTTAGGTCTTCCATAAACTATTTCTTTTTCTCTTCCATAGGTTCACTGTTTCTTTCTTCAGCTGATAGCGGAATCACTGACGATCATTGTAGCACTTGTCCATTGGCAATTGCAACAGCAAAACAAAGAGCTGCTCCAATAGTAAAACTTGGACCAAGCCAACGACATAGTTGTTTCCCATCCTTAGATGAGCAATTAGATGAAAGACACCAACACCAATCCCAAATAGCAAAATCAACCAGGTGAGAGATATCTTTAGTGTTGCCAGAAACGATTGTGGCTCCACATTCTCCTTCTTGTATTGCAAGTCCCAGTGCCATGTGACTGTGAATCTCAAAAGCATACATAAAAACTCGATCCCAGAACGCAATAGGGATATTCCTTGCATGCATGAATTGACGGTAAAGTCGACTTCCTTCCCAAATTGTGTCTTCTGTCAGTGCTTGATTAGGATGATGAGGCTCAATAGGATGAATTGGCACTTGTCCTTTGTTAGCAACTTCTCGGAATTTCCCTTGAGTTAGTGACTTGGCATCGTCAGGTATGAGACATTGGGGAAAACCGAACTGACAAAATAGTTGTGTGAGGCTTGTGTGAACATCTGATTCTTTGTTCAACGGATAAGCACGAGCCCACTGTACTGGTGTAGCATAGACCGCGACGCAAGTGTTTCCTTCAGCTGACTTGCAGGGTCCAAACTTAACATCAACATAGACATTTGTCAGCTAAGACTTGTGTTGTTAAATAATCGATGGCACCTTGGAAATTGGATCAGAGAACGGCATCTCCTGTAATATGTGATCTTCCATTGGAGAAGAGGAATCTTCAACAGTTTTCTCGAGAAGTACGTCAACCTTATTTGCATCAGAGCGTGGATCACCGTTCAACTCGAGGTCGTTGAATGCTCCAATAAGGCAACTGATAAAAGTATTTCAAGTGAAGCCTCAAGCTTTACCGTTCCAGTGAAGTGTTGCGAGGACACGGACGGCAGCTTGGCGTTCATTGGTGAAATGTCCCCTTCCACAATATTGTGCAAACAGAGCGAAGTAAGCAGCTCGTCCATTCAAAGTTGGAGCAAATTGACGAACGTGATTGTAGGCATCAGTTTCATGTGTGACGGCATGGAGCATAACCCAAAATTTCTGGTTGTTGTGATTGAACACAGCACCAGTGTGGGCAGCACTTCGGACAAGTTCTTCTTCAATGGAGCGAGTGCCATCATCGGCTTTGAGAAAGCCAGGGTCACCAACAACTGGAAGTTCAGAATTTTCACGGAAAATATAATCAAGGCAAATTCCACGATATCCATAG